GTGGTAAGAGGCTGTGGTACTTACCGGATTCGAGACTTGGAGATTGTTGGGGATGATACTCGGCTGCATCACAGATTTGACACCGGTTACATTAGGACTCCGTATCTCCGACATTGGTGACTTATTGTCCTCGACATTTTGATCTTGTTCGATGACATTTTGGATTGCCATATCGGTGACCTACTGGTTTCTATCTCGGTGACATTTGGTGCTACCTGCATCTCCCACCTCCTTCGTCTCTCCTCCCACCTTCATCTGTGAATGTGTGTACGGGGCTGAGCATCGTCCATGTATGGCTCAGACCCCACCATCTCACAATTGTATGTGTGCGGAGTGATATCTATGTGAGTCAGTCTATGTGAGTCAGTCCGTTTATCAGACTTCCGCTGCATATATGCTCATCCTATATTGGTTGATCTTTGGTTCTGCCCATACTCATTGAAATATGTGACAGTTTTGGTATCGGAGCAGACCATATAACGGATCTGCTCACAAAGGTAAGTCTGATTAGGAATTAGATTGTTCCTTCAATCTTCCAAATCAGCTCTGTATTACTATCAAGTTCAAGTTGCAAATTTTTCTTTTTTCGGTATTCTATTTATTTCGGCATTTCCGTTTCAATTCGGTATTCGGACTTATAATTCGGATTTCTGTTTTATTTCGGTATGCTGTTTATTTAGGTTCCGATTAATTGATACTAATCCGATAATTTGTTAGGTTCGGATTTCTGATTTGAAAACGTTATTAGGGTTGAATCAGTATCCTGTTGAAATTCGGCATTCTGATTTCCATTTAGCATTCCGTTTTTAACTTCGGCATTCTGTTGTAAATCCTACATTTCGTTTTTCTTGTGGTATTTCCGTTTTCTTTCAGTATTGGAAAGTAGGGTTACAAAATTTTTTGGTTATTCGATCAACTTGGGAATTCCGAACGTTTTGGAACCATAATACCGGAAATTCCGCGGAAATGCAGAAAATTAGGGTTGGGCCCGAAATTTTTGCGAATTTTTTTTTTTCTTTTCCCCTTGTTGGAGAAATTCCGAAAACGGATTTAGGCCTTTAAAAATCGGATTTTGACGGTGGAAATTCCCCAAAATTCGCGTTTTTGAAAATTCGAGTGTTTTTTTTCTCCGGATTTTTCCGATTTTTTTTTTTTTTTTGGCAAATTAATCCGAATCTGACCCTCACATTGCAATTTCCGGGTAGTTCACTAATTAACGGTGAACTCCCGGACCATACTTGATCTCAAAGGATATCTAATCGTGATACAATTCAAATTCGTTCATTATCATTATTGCAAATATCGTTTATTGATTATCATTAAGAAATCTTTATTGCAAACATCGTTTTATTGATTATCATTAAGAGTTATTATTTCGTTATTAATCATTAATTCATTTTATTGATTAAATAATTAGTTATTATTTCTTCTTATTACGAATTTTTGAGTTGTTTACGGGAAAATTATTTTTTATGTTTTGATTAGGTGTCTACAGTCCATCAGTGGGACAGGGGACTGTATGCGTATTGTCTGATTGTCCTACCCCTGTTCCCACTCTCCCTACCCTCCCCGTACTCTGTGACCACCGGGACCTCTCAAGTACCGCATCAGTTCACTCTGATGTCGATGGAACAGGACACCGGGGCACTGCCACGACGCAGTGCCAGGCTCGCAGTTCGTAGCCGCCCTGTGGTACCTCCAACACCCAAGCAGCGACTCAGCAAGCGGAAGACTCCAGCAGCATCATGTACAGCAATAACAGTACCGAGTACCACCGGGGTTCTTCCCACATGCCCGGTCCAAGGGGCCGGTGAGCCGATGGCAGCTTACCTTCAGCGGGTACAGGCATTCACAAATGCCGTAGCTACCGCAAAGGCACAGGAGGAGGCAGCAGAGGCGGAACGTCAGCGGCTGGCCAATGAGGCGGCGGCCCAAGCTCAGCAGACTGCTGAGGCTGACGCCGTGGTGCGAGACAAGCCGAACGCCATTTGCATGGAGTCCTTGACTATGAATGAGAGTGAGTGGACGACACTGCTCCAAGGCATGCTGTTTGTGCCTTCGGAAACACAGGCGGATCCGACACCAGCGGAGGAAGAAAGGAGCAACCTGGATAATCTGATGTTGAATATGATGCGAGCGATCATGTGGAACAACACGATGTTAATGGTGCAAATACACGAGGGCAGACAGCTGCGACAGATTCAGCAGAATGATTCTGCAGCCTTAACAGCTGCTGTTCGCGCTGCCGCCACACATCAGCAACAACAGCAACAGCTGTTGAACACCACCACCGCACGCGTCAACAACATCGATGCTAAGGCCTCAGCAGCGCCAGGCTGCACGACGGACGCGACGAAGCAGCTCAACGAGCGCATCGATCACGTCGTCACTATCATCGACGATATAGGCAATTTCACTAGCCCGGCCACAATCAGCAGCGCGGTGGCCGCCATCAAGACGGACATCACCAAGCTGAGACGAGACCGGACGCCGCTACGAAGACTTACAAGATGCCGCACTTTGACATCAGCAAGTTCGACGACTACAACAAGTCAGACGCCTTGACATGGTGGCAACGTTTCCTCACGGAAGCATCATGCCGCACTGTCCCGGCGGACGACATGATGAAGGCACTCTACTTACAACTGATTGGAGGAGCGCAGGCATGGATGAACCATCTGGCGGCTACCAAGAAATGCACCATCGCCGAACTCCGCACGCACATTCTGTGGAAGGAGTTCGAGAAGCTATGGCTCACCCGGTTCATGGTTCGCAACGTCGTGAAGGCAACCATGAACGAGGTGTACATCTGCTCTCAAGGGAGTATGCCAACTCGAGACTGGACAACTAAGTGGCAGAAGATAGTGAACACGCCAGGCTTCGATTTGAGTTTTACCAATCAGCGATCCGAGTTCTTCTCGCGATCGTGCGCAGGACTGCGGTCGACACTCAACAACGAGTACGATTATGATTCATTCCAGGCCATTCTGGATCGTGCGAACTTAGTCATCCAAACGGATGACAAGGCCGCAAACGAATGGCAGTCCCAACCGCATTATGTGGCTAAGCAGGGCTATCAACGACCGGCACATAACAATGCTGTAATTTATGAAGAAACAGTCGATCTCCACGCTAAAGCAGCATCCTCGAGTGATGGAGGATTTGTAGCAGCGCTCCTGCCGAAGCGTCCCAAGAGAGTTTGGAAGAACAAGGCGACACAAGAGACGACATCGACGGGAAATGGGCAGCAGCCATGGACGGCTTACAAGATAACCAAGGATGTCTATGACCTTCGTCAAAAGTACGGATACTGCCTTTGGTGCAACGGCGTCACTCATTTGACCGCACAATGCCCCGAAAAGGGCAAGGCACGCGTACCCCGTCCAACAAACTCGGGAAACTGAGTTATGCAAGGAGAGGGGCGACGTCTCTCCTCACTCCGCCGGAACCGGTTGCCTTGCTAGCAATCGATGTCACCACCGGAGAGCATGCGTTAACCGCTGATTCTCGTGCTACGTACGAGGATTATGCCGCCCAACTGGAACCACCACTAGACCAGCCGAACCACGTGCCCTTAGATTGCGTATGTGCAGCCTGTACACCGTCGACAAGTGATCCGGTCAGTTCACCACTGATTTCTGTGGACTCGACGGCGTGGTCAAGACTTGAGGAGCTTGACACGCTCACGAGAGAGAACTTCGCTTGGATGCCTCTACCCTCGACCGGAACCTTGCCAAGGCCGCATTGCAACGTCTTAATTGCAAATCTACGCTCCTATTTTCACACTACAGTACCAGCTCCGTTGACGGACGACGGAGTAGCGGTTGTCGATCTCCGCTCCTATCTTGCGAAGATTGACCGCGAGTACCCCACCCAAAGGTATGCCGAAACCGACGCTCCTTTGCTCAATATCCGCATTCAAATCGGAAAGGCAACCTGTAGTGCCTTGATTGATTGCGGTGCATCTCGCAACTTTATGAGCCAAGTCTTTATGGCCCGCGCAGGTCTTGGCCCGCGTCTTCGAAGGAAGACGCAACCTACGCAAGTTACACTCGCAGACGGCCGCACACAAAAGTCAATTGACCGATGCGTCGACGGCGTTCCGGTATACTTTGCGCCACTTGCGTGCGAGCCGGTGTCTTTTGACATCCTCGACACCAAGTTCGACATGATTCTAGCCATGTCTTGGTTGCGTAGCGCCGATCATCCGGTGAACTTTCATGACCGAACCGTTCACATCCGTGATCGGAACGAAGTGTTAGTCCCATGTACGGTTGCGACCCCTCACACTTCGATTGCTTGTCACGTGGTTTCCGTTGCGAGAATTCGCGACGCCATAGCTCGGAATGACGTCGAGGAGATGGGCCTTGTATTCTTGCATGCTCTCCCCTCGCCGGACGGACCAGCCGCGTCACCGCCGAACCCACGCATTTCTCACCTCTTGGACGAGTATAGGGACGTCTTCGAGGCTCCCACCGGAACAAATCCGGATCGGCCCATACGTCACGGGATCACTCTCGAGGCTGGCGCCGTCCCTCCGCGTGGATGTATCTACCGCATGAGCGAAGAGGAACTCGAGGTGCTTCGCGCACAACTCGATGATCTTCTCGACAAGGGCTGGATTCGCCCTAGTTGCTCGCCATACGGTGCACCTGTTCTCTTTGTCCGGAAGAAGAACAAAGATCTACAGGTATGCATCGACTATCGCAAACTTAACGCACAAAACGTAAAGACCGCGTTCAAGACGGTTAGGCGGCGAGACGTACTTCTCGAAGTTGGACTTGAAGTCAGGTTACCACCAGATTGAAGTCCAGCCTCAAGATCGGTACAAGGCCGTGTTCAAGACGCGGTACGGGCATTTTGAGTGGGTTGTCATGCCCTTTGGCCTCACCAATGCCCCCGCAACTTTTCAAGCATTTATGACGACTGAGTTTCGCGACTCGCTCGATCGCAGCGTCCTCATCTACCTAGATGACATCTTGGTCTATAGCAGGACGTTGGACGAGCACATCACACACCTTCGCGCTGTTTTGAATTGTTTGCGACTGGCCAAGTACAAAGCGAACCGCGACAAGTGCGAGTTCGCCAAGCAAGAGCTTGAGTATTTGGGCCACTATGTTACGCCAAAAGGAATTCGTCCCTTAGCGGACAAGATCCAAGCCATCGTGGATTGGCCGGAACCCCGTTGTACAACGGATGTACGCTCTTTCATGGGTTTGGCTGGATACTATCAGCGATTCGTTGAGTCATACTCGAAAGTGGCCGCTCCTTTGTCGAGACTCCAGTCCCCGAAGGTGCCCTTCGAGTTCGACGACGCAGCCCGTGGCGCGTTCACTACGTTGAAGGCAGCGATGCAAGCCGCACCTGCCCTCCGTATATACGACCCCACCCTAGCCACCCAAGTGACTACGGACGCTTCGGGATACGGTATTGGTGCGGTGTTGGAACAGTGTCACGAGGACGGTTGGCATCCGGTCGAGTATTTCTCCCAAAAGGTGCCTCTCGTAAACACTCTCGTCGACGCTAGGAAGAAAGAGCTACTCGCGTTCGTCACCGTTCTCAAACGGTGGCGCCACTTTATTCTCGGCCGTCGGCGTTTTAAATGGAATACGGACAACAATCCGTTGACCTTTTACAAAACGCAGGACACAGTCACTAGCACGATCGGTCGATGGATGTATTACATCGACCAGTTCGATTTTGACCCGTGCCACATTCCCGGTCCCGCCAATCGAGCTGCGGACGCCCTCTCACGACGGCCCAACTTTTGTGCCATTGTGACCACGACATTCGACCTCGATGACAATCTGCAGCCGCATTTCGTCAAAGGCTACAAGTCCGATCCAAGTTACTCTACGCTATATGCAGAGCTCTCATTGGATCACCCGCCGGCTAGCCACTTTCGGATTTTCGACGGGTTCCTTCTCCTTCACACGAGAGGAAAGGACTCGTTAGTTGTGCCCCAAGATCGCATCGTACGGACTCGTCTTCTCGGCGAATTCCACGACGCACGACTTTCGGCACACCTTGGCGTGAACCGCACATTAGCACGCCCCCGCCAGCGTTTTCACTGGCCTGGCGTCCTTCATGACGTCACGAGGTACGTTGAGTGATGTGCAGTTTGCCACCGTAACAAGGGTCGATCTCGAGTCCCCTTCGGCAAACTGAAACCGTTGCCGATTCCTCGGGCACCGCGCCTCTCCATTGCTATGGACGTGACAGGCCTGTTCCCCCGCGATCGCCACGGCCATGACGGTATATCCAGAAATATCTATCTATCCTAATCGTAAGTTGAGTTGGAGAGCCGTATGATAGGTGACTATCTCGAACGGTTCGGAGAGGACTCGAGTAATCACCAAGGGTGTGAAAGTTTCACTCTTGACCGTTTGAGCAAGTACGCTCGCTTTCTTCCTTGCAAGTATCATGCTGCAGCGGCGGAGCTCGCACGACTCTTGCACATCGGTTGGATTACCAACCAGGGTGTTCCGGAAGACATAGTGAGCGACCGAGATACTCGCTTCATGTCGACCTTTTGGACTTCCCTCATGGCTGAGTCCGGTACGACAATGAAGCCGAGCTCGGCTCGGCACCCGCAGACGGATGACCAAACGGAGCAAGCGCACCAGACCGCTCAGATGATGTTGCGTACGCTCATCCGTCCTGACCAGAAAGATTGGGTTGACCGGCTTCCGGACGTCGAGTTCGCCTATAACACTTCGGTGCACCCGGCGATCTGCGTCACACCATTCGAGCTACATCATGGTGGAGAGAAAGCACGGATCTTCGCTGATCTCCTTTTGCCACAGGCTGCCGACATAGACGTCCCTTGCTCTCCTGCTTCCGTTCGGAAGTACCGGGACTTGCTGATCAAAGCCCGCGCGAATACGCAAAAGGCTCAAATCCGCATGCAAGAGCAAGCTAACCGACGTCGACTTCCATGTCCTTTCCGCGAGGGAGACCTTGTTTGGGTCCTCTCCGAGGAATTTGCGCTCGAGCAGGAYGTTTCGCGCAAACTCCTTCCGAAATGGTTCGGACCATGGGAAGTCACTTCTGCCGTTCGAGACGACCCTACAGGTCCTTCCTTCGTGATCAACATTCCACCGCACCTTACAGTTCATCGGGTCTTCCACGCATCAAAGCTGGCCATCCACACGCCACCTTCAGTTGGCGAGTTTCCCGGACGTCGATCACAGGATCCGCCTTCCATGGACGGACATCAGGAAGTGAACCGAGTCATCACGCACTGCAAGTATGGCAACAAGCCAATGCAGTACAAAGTCACATTCAAGCAATGTGCGCCTGACGACACTCGATGGATCTCTAGTGCAGACTTGCAGACTTCTGCACCCCTTATCTTCGCCAACTATGAGAAGACACGACTTGCCAAGGCAGCAGCTCGTCCCACCCGACCCATCCCGGTATCGGACAGACAACTCCGCCCTCGCAAGTAGCTCGGTCTTTTAAGAGGGGGAGTGTGTTACATCTTCGATGCCACACGGGTCCTACCGGACCCGACTTAGGGTTAGAGGGACACAGTAGGGCCTAAAGGCCTGACCTTGGGGGTACTACGGGCAGTAAAGGCCTTACCTTGGACCAGACTCGACGGGCAGGCCCAAACGACATTACCGTTTGGGCCTGGCGGCGCTCTTGAGGCTGCCGCCCGCCAGTTGGGGCTGAACCGTCGATCTTGACAGTTAAGGGCACGGCCAGGCCTCGCAGCATTGAGGCCGGCCTCTTCCCCACCGGTACAAAAGAACCGGTCCAGCCTCATTGAGGCTATCGACCCACCGGGACTCTAACGGTGCGGTATGGTACGGCGCGAATCAGCGCTGGCGCTATGTTAGTGCAGGAGCACAAGGAGCAGCGCAGCGCAGCATTAGCGCAATAGCAGCGGCGACTGGGCGTATCAGCGGCCATAGCCACCTGAGGTATCGGGAGTCGGAGGTTTCTCTCCTCCCTCCCATCGCCAGTCCCCTCTCTCTCTCTCTCCTCCTCGGCTCCCTT